TTTTCATTATAGTACCACATTATTTTGATTACTGTATCTTTGTGGTAAAATCTGAACTCAGAAGGTGTTGAGTCTTCCAACTTTATTCTTTGTTTAGATTATTTTGGTTGTGTGTGGACTCGAAATACATGGGATCCTTTGAGGTTTAGGATAGTTTTCCCCTTTTCTTTAAAAAAGGGATAAAGATTACATTGAATTTGTAGATCCCCTTAGGAAGAAGTAGTATCACCTTAAAAGTGTTCATCTTTGAACATGGTGTTTCTTTATATCTGTCTTCTTCAGCAATGTTTTATAGTCGTGTAAGTCTTTTACTTCCTCTGTTAATTTATTCTTAAGTATTTACTATTTTGACAGTATTAATAATGAAATTGTTTTTTAATTCCCCTTAACCCCTTCATGCAAGGATATACAAAAGTAGCTGATTTCTTTCTTTCCTTATTGGCTAACAATTTTTTGTGATTCTTTAGGGTTTTCTGTATATATGAGATTTCATCTGTGAAAAGAAATATTATTTCCTGTCCAATTTGGTTACCTTCTTTTTTCTTATCTAGTCAAATTATTCTTGGCTAGAATTTCTAGTACTATGTTGAATAGAAGTGGCAAAAAACAGACATGCTTACCTTATTCTTGATCTTAAGGATTAAGTTTTCAGTCTTTCACCATTGAGTATATTAGTTTTTCCATTTATGGTCTTTATCATAAAACTTCCTTCTAATCAGCTTTGAGTGTTTATATCATGAAAGAGTATTAAATTTCAACAAGTGCATTTTCTACATCAAGTGAAATGTGTTGGTTCTCCCCGCCCCATTCTATTATAATAAATTGCCATGATTAATTTTAGTTTGCTTATTCATCTTTGCATCCTGGGAGTACATTCTACTTGGTCATCACATATAATTTTCTTAATATGCTGATGAATTTTGTTTGGAATTTTGAATCAATGTTAAGTGGCTTTGGTCTGTAGTTTTCTTACCTCACAGAGTGAGTGCTCCTTCCTCTTCATATTTTGCAAAGAGATTAAGAAGAATTGGTGGTAATTCTTTAATGTTTGCTAGAATTTACAGGTGAAGCCATCTGGTTCAGAGCTTTCTTTTGTTGGGATGATTTTGGTTACTGATTCAACCTCCTTAGAAGTTACAGGCCTATTTAAAATTTTTAATATTTTCTTCAGTTAATTTTGTCACTTTGGGTATTTCTAGGAATATGTCCATTTCATTTAAATAATACCATCCACGTTTTCATTTCTGATTTTAGTCATTTAAGTCTTCTTTCATTTATTTTTCATGGTAAATCTAGCTGAAAGTTGTCAATTTTGTAGTTCTTTTTCAAAGATCAACTGTGGGTTTTGATTATTTTCTCTCTTTATTTTCCTGTTTTTTTGTTTTTTGTTTTTTGTTTTTTGTTTTTTGTTTTTTTTTTAAATCTCTAATCTTCATTTTCCTTTCTTCTGGATTTGTGTTTGGTTTCCTCTTTTCAAATTCCTTGAAGTTTACGATTCAGTTATGAGATTTTATATGCACATAAACCTAAAAATTTTCCTTTTTACACTACTTTTGCTGTAATCCATAGGTTTTTAGTATGTTATGTTTTCATTTTTATTCATCTAAAGCTATTTTCTAATTTCATTTGTGATTTGATCTTTGATTTTTTAAGATTGTGTTTAATTTTCACATATTTGTGAATTTTCTAGTTCTTGTTGATTTCTTGTTTCAGTCTATCATGATTGGAAAAGATACTCACTCACTCATTTTTTTTTCCCCCCTCTTCCAGCGGGTATTTCTGTGGGACTTGGATGAAACTATCATCATCTTCCATTCCCTTCTTACCGGATCCTATGCCCAGAAGTATGGAAAGGTAATTTGAGTCTTTTTTCCTTTATTGTTATTGGCCCTCTTGGCAGTATGGGCAAAAGTCTCAAATCACTTTCTCTGCTACCTCCATTTTATGCTGTTGGTTTTTCATTTCCCATGTATAACTTTGTCTGATGGTTTGTGCTAGACAGGCTTTGTGGTCAGACATGATGATGATAAAGCTAAAAAGTAGGCCTAGGACTAGTGCTAAAAGCTGTGAATATATTCAAGATTGGTATTTGGAAGACTAACTATGGAAATGAGGCTAAAAACAGAATGGAGTCTTGGGATTATGTATTTCAAAGACTGATTGTTATCTCTTTGT